CTTCTTGTATCCTGCTGCCTTGAGGACTCTCCACACCGTGGTAGGAGAGACGTCGTAACCGTAGAGACTAAGATCACCAGCTATGTCAGCACAGCTCTTCTCTCGTCCATAACGGTCACGGCGTACTTTGTCAACAGTAGGTTCATGGATAGCCTCTTGTTTACGTGGGCGGCCTGAGCGAGGAGCATCTTCAAGGTGTTCAGGAAGAACCTTTAGGGTTGGTCCATTTGGCTCAAAGCCTCGAAGGCAGGCTCGGCTGAAGATAGCGTCGATAGTGCGTGGGGAAATACCCAGGATCTCGCTGATCTGGCTCGTTGATTTGCCCACAAAGCGGGACTTTAAAGTAACAATTATAGCACGTGTGAATGAGTCTGTGTGAGAACGAGGAGCCATTACTAGTATAACTAACCTTTGAGAAACACCAAAGAAAGCGAAGATACTGCTATCTTCAGCTTCAAAAACTCTGACTGTGCCAAGAAATATCGGGCCGATAGATCTACCGCGCTAGCAATAACTTTTGAAAGGCACCTCCGTACTGGGTATCTTGAAATGATCGACATCATGTTTCCGGACTTCACTCGTCCGGGCTTACTGCAAGCAGCTTTGCCATCTTCTCCTCGAGCATCTTGACATCATCGCCAACCGTTTTAATATTGTTAACCATGGTAGTCTCGGCCTTCTTCATGTCTTTCTCGACGATCTCTAGCTGTCGCTCCCAATTCTTGATCTCGTTTTCTTGCGCCGTCTGCCGACGTTCCAACTCGCTGAGCACCTCATCAGCCTGCCATGCACTTGTATGCACAAGTCGCAATGTACGAAGGCGCTCGAGTACCAGAGGCAGTATAGGCGATAGTTTGTCGATGGACGGTAGCGTGCCGTAGAGAGCATTGATCTTCGCTTCCTGATCTGGATAGGTGGGGACTTTGTTGTCACCAGAAACCGAACCAGTCTGTGCAGCTTCTTGCCGAACCTCCTTCAAGTGCTCCGCTTCGGCTGTAAGCTTTTTGACGTTCTGTGTCACTGCGTCTAGGTTGTTCGTTGAGGCATCTCCAATCAGACCAAGGGTCTGCTCTAGCCTGGTAAGGGTATTGGATACGGGGAAAGGCGTGTGATCGCTTAACTCTGGCATCGTGTTCCCGTTCAAGCCCAGGCTATTCTCCATTTGCGTGATGCGCTTGTCGAAATCAGCCGCCTGATTCAGCACAAACTCTAGTTGACTCTTCTGTATTTGCGTTCCGGGCAACGGTGGCTGGTTCGCAATCGCTTTGCTGATTTTCGGGCTCGGTTCGAAGGGCTTGTAACTATCGAATTTCTGAACCGTCCGATCAAGTATTGCTTGTGCACCCCGTGCGCCGCCTTTGTGTGTCGCATACATTGTGTCGACCTTACTCGCTATGATCTCCATCATCTCCTTGGGGTCTTGCTCTTCAATCTTGGACTTGTCCCCACTCTCCACCCTTCGCTCATATTCATCCTCTAGCCCTGCTAGTTCCCTCTTGATCCTCAGAAGCTTTTTCGCAAAGCTCTCTTCCTCTTCATCGCTGTCGTCGCCTATTATGTCGCCTCGCCGTCGCTGGCGCCGTGTGGATGTGCGGTAGGATTGACGTTGTGCGGTGATGTTGTCAGAGAAGTCAACCCCGCGCGCATCTATTCGAGCAGGCTGAAAGCGGTTGCGAGCCTGATCTGGCTGAAGCCGTTGATGACGGACTGCAGAGTCCTCGGCCGAATCGTCGCTTTCACCCTCGGATTCGGATACAGCGGTGGAAGCCTGTATTGTGGACACATCCTCTGCGAGTTCCGGGGTTTCGTAGATGTCGGGCGCTGTGTCAATGCCCGGGAGATTGTCGTATTTTGGCCGTGTTGCTTCAGACATTGTGCTTGAGCTTGGAGAAGCGTGGTGGGGTCGATTTGGCGGACGTCGGGGGTCCACGAACTTGGAGGGACGCGCTCAGAATGGAAGTCGCGATTTGCGCTAGTCTCCACGTGGTATAGTCAGGGAATGCATACAGAAGGTACAGAGCCGTCGTTGTTGACATGTTGTGCATCTTTCTCTTGGACATCAATCATCACTATCTACATTGTCCACTTCATCTTAATGCTTGTACTGTGACAAATGAACCTGTGCGCCTGATTCGGAAAGTACTATGTAGCCGTGCGAGATTTTGCATCGCCCATTCCATGTTATATCTGCATGGTTCCTGGTTTAATCGATAACATTTATGCCTGGACTCTGAATGTACGACCGCTAGCAGTCTTGCGTTCTTTCTCCTCAACTTCGGGTCGAGCTCTGCGAAGGACTATGCATGTTAGTATGATCCACTGACGAGCTGGTGAACAGAACATACCTTGGAGGAAGTCGGCGGTCCGCTTGCGCATTCGTGTGTGAATGAAGGCCTTTGAAGCCTTGATATGGTAGTGGAAGTAGTCGCGGAAAGTCTGGATGTGTGAGATGACCTCATCTCGTCGTTGCTTTGCAAGATGGCGAGGGAAAAGAACTAGGCAAGTTAGCAATGTTCTGGAGAGAGATTCCAGAAAACACACCAAAGGTAATGTAACCGATGTCAGCAGAACCGGATGTATCAACTCCTGGAATACCCTGCAGTTCCAGAGGTGGGTCGTTCCTGAACAGCACCTGTGGTGCATTTTGAATAGCTCTCCGTCTAGCGTCGACAAACTCCTGGAGGAAGACCTTGCCGAATATCCTGTCTGTCTCTTCCCTAAAGACTGTCGAGAAGATGACGGTGACACGGTCGTGGCTGGCCTTGACGTATATGGCTTCCTCTTCTCGGTAGTGAATTGCACGGACATTGCCGCCTTCTGCCACACCCTGTGGCGCCGACTCGGATGTGTACTTGGAAGCTTCTTCTTGCAGCTCGTGGAACTCGTCGAAAGCCTGCTCGAAGGGTGCAGCCATGGCATTTCGCTTCAGGAGGGATATGCGTCGGACCAGGTCATCTTTGGCGTCTACATGTCGTCAGTAATCTCTCAGTTCCCACATAGTGTTCTTCGTACCCTGATCTTCCGGCAGGTTCTCCAAGTCTACCTGGACGGAGAAATCGTACGAAGCCTCGGGTTCCACAATGTACGGGCCGTATTCGCGTTCCAGCACTGCCTGCGCGCCATACTGGACTAATTCCTTGAAGCACTTGACGTGGATAGAGACGAGAATCTTGGTCTTGCTCTCTGGAGTCGAAATGTGGAAGGTGACGCCGTCAAAGTCGGACACAACCTGGTCAATGTTGGCTGTGGCTCCTCTGCATGCTGTTAGCTACCCGACGGTAGAGCAGGCGGCGGGGTATTCCGTACCCATTGACGCGGTCTCTTAGGAGAGACTCGATGAGAACGTTTTGGTAGTCAAGCAGAAGCATGGTGGTGGTTCGGCTCCTAGCAGCGTGTTTGGTGTCTTCTGGCGGGGAGCTGTCGAGCACGGTGATGCGGAGGACGGAGGTGTGCTGTGATGCTGGAAGGTGGGCCTAGCGCAATTCGTGGGGGCGGCCCATGTCTAAAAAGTTTCCCAGCAAGACGCCGATTCACTACACCTCGATCATTGCCAGTCGCGCATAGTCGCATATAGTCTACTTGCACCGTAATGTGTCAAAGATAGTGTATCCAGGTCTCATCCAAATTTTATTTTCACCATCTAGTCAATTCTGGTGAAAAAAAGCGCAAAATGGTCAAATCATACAGGTAATGCGCATCTGCAGCGCATCCCATATAGAGCTCCGACTGACGCTCAACCAGTAAATACGAGCAGACCGACGCTTTTGGTGTGGTCGCGACTGCCACCTCGAACATTGTATGGACCCCGGAAGGCCTTACACAACCTGGATCATCTCGAGCCGCAGGCGCCGGACGCGCATACGCTGCCGCCAATGAAGAAGTGCTATGTTGGGATATTAAGAAGAGCGAGCTCGTGAGCAGATGGCGCGACAACTCTTGTACCGAGCAAGTGACCGTCATTTGCAGGAGCGACGTGGATCCAGATGTTTTCGCCGTGGGCTACACAGACGGAAGCATACGCATATGGGATGCGCGAACGTCGACCGTCATCATCAGCTTCAACGGACACAAATCGGCCGTCACAGTACTTACTTTCGATCAAAGCGGAGTACGTCTAGCGAGTGGCTCCAAGGACACAGATATCGTCATATGGGATCTGGTCTCGGAAACGGGCTTGTTCAAGCTGAGAGGACACAAGGGTCAAATCACCGGTCTGCACTTTCTTCATCCTGGTAGCGCGTCAGACGAAGATGGCGAAGTGGACATGGATGCGGATCAGGCATTCCTACTCTCCACGAGCAAAGATGCATTGATCAAGATCTGGGACGTCGCTACGCAACACTGCATCGAGACGCATATTGCACAAACCAACGGAGAATGTTGGGCACTCGGTGTCTCGCCAGACGGAAGCGGCTGCATAACAGCTGGTAATGACGGAGAGCTCAAGGTATGGGCTATCGATCAATCCGGTCTTCGACAAGCAGCTTCAACCTTGGGAGAAGGAGTGGATCGGGAGTATCTCACGTCGAGAGGTATCTTATATCGACAAGGAAAGGACAGGACGCAGTGTATATCCTTCTACGGCAGGGCTGATTACATCGCCGTACATGGCGCGGAGAAGGCTGTGGAGATCTGGCGGATAAAAACTCCAGAAGAAGTCAGGAAAAGCTTAGTAAGGAAGAGGAAGAGAAAGCGGGAAAAGTCCAAGTCCGAGACAAACGGCGAGGCGCAAGAAGGGATGGATGATGACAAGGTCAATGCAGCAGATGCGGAAATTGGCGAGGTCTTTGTGCCCTACGTGACAGTGCGGACAGCTGGAAAGGTCAGGTCGGTTGCGTGGATGCATATCAAGGGAACGAAGAAGCTGCAACTACTCGTCGGCACAAACAACAACCTCTTAGACGTTTACGAAATACCCCAACGAAGCAATTCGAAGAGCGAGGAGGCACCAGATTATAGTAGGACACTGTCTGTCGAACTCTCGGGCCACAGAAACGATGTACGAGCGCTCGCTCTCAGCTCAGACGACCGCATGTTGGCATCTGCGTCAAGTGGGGGACTCAAGATCTGGAATATCAAGACACAGAACTGTTTGCGTACGCTGGAGTGCGGGTATGCTCTATGTTGCGCATTCCTACCTGGAGACAAGATTGTGGTAGTAGGCACCAAGGACGGTTATATCGAATTGTACGACATAGCGGCTTCCACATTGCTCGACAAGATTTCAGCACACGAGGGAGCAGTATGGACGATGCAAGTTCACCCTGACGGCAAGTCACTCATCACTGGTAGTGCGGACAAGTCTGTCAAGTTCTGGAACTTCGATATCGTAGAGGAGGAGATTCCAGGGACAAAGCGCACAACACCACGTTTAAAGCTCACGGAATCTCGCATACTCAAGGTCAACGATGATGTTCTAAGCATACAGGTATCACCCGACTCGCGACTGCTAGCTGTGGCAACTCTCGACAATACCGTAAAAGTCTTCTTTGTGGATTCGCTGAAGCTTTTCCTCAACCTTTACGGTCACAAGCTGCCAGTGCTCAACATGTCGATATCTGGCGACAGCAAGCTCATCGCCACATGTTCCGCCGATAAGAACGTACGTATCTGGGGTCTTGATTTCGGAGACTGCCACAAAGCGCTCTTCGGCCACGAGGACAGCATCATGCAGATCTCCTTCATTCCACACCCCGTGGACGGCGAAGAACGCCACATCTTCTTCAGCGCCTCCAAAGACCGAACAATCAAAAGCTGGGACGGCGACAAATTCCAGCAGATACAAAAATTTAGAGGCCACCACGGCGAAATCTGGGCCATGACCGTCGCCCGAACCGGCGACTTCCTCGTCACCGCCAGCCACGACAAGAGCCTGCGCATCTGGACACGCTCCGACGAGCCCATTTTCCTCGAAGAAGAACGCGAGCGCGAACTAGAAGAAATGTACGAAAAAACTCTCGCTACTTCCCTTGAAGACGACGAAAACAACGAAAACCCGTCCACGGCAGAAGCAGTCGATGCTTCAAAACAAACAATCACCACTCTCACCGCTGGCGAGCGCATCCAAGAGGCCCTCGACCTAGGCATCCCCGACCTCGAGTTGGTTCAGAATTGGGAGATACAACGTCGTTCAAACCCTAAACTCGCTCCTCCACAACGAAATCCCCTATACCTCGCTCTCGGTAACATCTCAGCTGAACGCCATGTCCTCAGCACCATGGCCAAGATCCCCGCTGCACAACTCCACGACGCCTTACTTGTCCTACCCTTCTCCTCCCTCCCCGCGCTCTTCACTTTCCTCGCCATCTGGGTTCGCAAACAGTGGAATGTCACGCTTACCTGCCGCGTCCTCTTCTTCATGCTCAAGACGCATCAGAAACAGATTGTCGCGTCCCGCGAACTCAAGACTGTGCTGGAGGCTATGCGCAACGATTTGAGGATCATGTTGAGTCAGAATAAGGATTTGATTGGGTTTAATGTTGCCGCGCTGAGGTTTGTGGGGGAGAAGGTTGAGGAGAGGGGGTTGGTGAGGTGGGAGGATGTTGAGAGGGTTGAGGAGGAGGAGGGCAAGGGGAGGAGGAAGAGAGGGTTTGTGGATGTGGCGTGAGGGGGAGATATAGAGTGCATTTGTGGCGTTTTTGTTCGAATTGTTTTTTTTCCTTTCTGGAAGATGATGTTTGCGAGGAAAAAAAGTACCTAGGTATACACCTGGGTGAGCACCCAATAGACGTGTCTGGCGAATACAGGGGCCTTTTTGCACTAGTATGTCAAGTATCTCATGACACCCAGGTGTATGTCCGATATTGATTTCAGTGAAAAAGTATACATCATATACCACATGTCTATTGTATCATCACCTAAACTACTGTCACAACACCCCTCTCTCTCACTCACCTCCGCCTAAACTTGGACTTCCCAAGCACCGGCCTCTTGACCACGCCATCCCCGTCCTCAACCACCTTCTTCACAGCCCCCGCCTTCTTAACTACAGGCCCTTCCTCCTCCTCCCTAATCCTCTTCTCCTCCTTTGCCTTATCTGCCGCCATCTGCGTCTCAAGCTCAGCCTTGCGATTAAACTCCGTCTCTATTATCCGTTTATCCCTCGCCGAATACCCTTTTTCTTTAATCGAGTAGAACACGGCACCTAGATCAGCCAGCCAATGTGGATCCACGCTGGTAACACACGACATATACTCCTTGCTGGTGAGGATGAGCTCGTGGTAGACGACGTAATCGGGGAGGTAGCCGAGGCCATAGAGGGCAGATGTAGGATGTAATTGGATGGTAACCGAAGTGCGGAGATTGATGTATTCGCCTATGCCTTTGACCTTAGCGGCTTGGTGATAATATCCCGAACAGATGCATTTGCGGATAACGTCCCAGTCTGTGCCACAGGAGACGAGGGCCATCTTCTGCTTAGTCATGATATCGTGGATCTGGTCGCGGATTTCCTTGGCGCGGCGCAGCGCTTTAGGATGAAGGAAGTGGCGGATGCACCAGCTGTCTGAGTAGTTGTTTACTTTCCATTGCGTGTAGACGTGGAGGAGGGTTAGGTGGTCAGATTCCGGGACGAAGAATTTCTCGCGTGCGGCATCGGATTCTTCTTGGCGCTCCTTGGGGCGGTAGAAGACGCTAGGGACGGACAGCATAGCGACGATTGTGAGCATTTCTTCGCTGCATTCATATTCAGTGGCTGTGATGATGAGTTTGGCGAGAGAGGGGTCCATAGGGAAGGCTGTCATGGTGCGGCCAAGCTCGGTGAGGTTGCCAATGTTGTCGAGGGCACCTAGAGCCCAGAGGTCGAAGAGAGAGGTTGTTATGGTGTCTTGAGGGGGTGGATCCATAAAGTCAAAATCCAAGAGGTCTTTCACTCCAAGCGACTTGAGTAGGAGTACGGTGTTGGCGAGGTTGGTTCGTTGGATTTCCGGGATGGTTTGTATGTAAAACTCATCTCGGAAAGCTCTCTCAGTGTACAGGTGGAAGCATTTGCCAGGTCCTGTACGTCCTGCGCGACCGGCACGCTGAGATGCATTTGCTTGTGAGATGGGCGTAATCTGAAGGGTGTCCATACCCATTTTCGGATTGTAGACTTTGAGCTTTGAGAAGCCGGCGTCCACCACGTACATGATACCGTCGACTGTCAAACTCGTTTCTGCAATGTTAGTGGCTACGATGACCTTGCGTACACCTGGTGCTGCTCGGTCAAAAATCTTTGCTTGCAAATCGGCAGGCATTTGACTGTAGATGGGAAGAATGCTGAGCTTCGGCGGGTCGTTGAGAAGTTTGAGTCGTTCAGCAACAAGCTCACAGGTGATTTCAATATCTTCCTGACCCGTCATGAAAACTAGGATATCACCAGGTCCTTGGGATACGTGTATCGCTAGCACTTGCTTGACAGCACTGTCGACATAGTCCTCACACGGGGATCGTGCGTAGTTGATATCGACAGGGAAGGTTCTTCCGGGAATTACAAACTCGGGAGCTCCTCCATAGAAACGCGAGAATCTCTCCGAGTTCATGGTGGCGGATGTGACAATTAGCTTCAAATCTCTTCTCCTTGCCAAAACTTTCTTAAGGAGGCCCATCAGCACATCAGTGTTCAGCGCTCTCTCGTGCGCCTCGTCCATGATGATACATGAGTATTTGTCCAAGTCGGGCTCAACTAGCGATTCTCGAAGCAAGACACCATCTGTCATGTACTTGATTTTTGTCTCTTTGCTGGTACAATCCTCGAATCGAATTGCATATCCAACCTGACCACCCAGCTTGACCTCCATTTCTTCACTCACACGCTTCGCAACACTCATAGCAGCCACACGACGTGGTTGTGTACAGCCGATAAGTCCTTGCTTGGCATAACCGTCCTCAAACAGAAACTGTGTCAGTTGGGTCGTCTTTCCGGAGCCAGTCTGGCCAACAACGATGACGACCTGATTGTCTCGAATAACTCGAAGCAAATCTTCGCGGACTGCAAAAGCGGGAAGATATTGCCTTTGCTCTTGCAATGTCTTGCTCTTACTAAATGCACTTGCACCTTCCTGTTTACTGAGATGTTGTGCAAACTTGCTGCCCCCTTGTTTCTCCTCTTCCGGCCCAGGGGCAGCACTGTCGGTATCCTCCTCCTTGACGCCCATAATGTTACCCAGTGTGGTGCCCTTTGCACTCGTGGCTTCCTGTGCGTGCTTCTGTCGTTCTTTCTGTTGCCTCTTCTCCTTTACAACGCGACTGCCGCGCCGACTGAATACTGCCATGTCGCTCTGTGGATCGCGTACGGCCGAGATTGGATCAATTTGCTTGGTAAAGACGGTCTTTCCATCTAGGAACGGCGGTTTGAGGTCATGCACAAGAATGTGGACGCGCGTGCCCTCTTCGTCGTCGTCAAAGTCATCGTCGAAGCGTCTTCTTTGGGCTACTCCAGACTGTAGCATTCGATTTGTCTCCCATGCGTCTACGTCCTTTTGTTTCTGCTGTGCCCGCATGCTTGCTCGGTTGTTTTGCTTCTTCTCTGTCAGAGCAGCCTCTCGTTGGGCCTCCAGCCACGTACTCCCACCGAAAGGATTATGCGTATCGTCACCAAAGGTATGCCCATTCTCTTCACCGCCGTACCAGTCGCGATCGAGCGCCATAGAATCGAAGTCTTCTACCAACGGCTCTGGGCCATCAAAGGACCCTTGCTTGGGATTATCACCATCTTCCTGGCTCCTGGACGTATGGGCGCGAGAAGAGGCAGGTTGATTCGGCTTGCGAAACTTGGGACGCGGAGCGATTGAGTATTCTTCGGGGTCGATTTTCCGCCGCTTCGGGCTGTGACGACGATCCATTTGGAGAATACAGACGACTGGGGATAGCTACTAACGGTAGTATACGATGAAGCGTGGAGGTTGATGGTGAAGGTGGGCTCGTGGAAGAGACTTCAATCTGAGGATTTACTCGCTGGCGAGTCACGGTATGCGCTCAAGACATGGTAGGTAGCATGGTACAGTGTTAGGAGTGAAGGTTGGCTCGGAGGTCCGCAATTATCGCGCGCAAGCTTCAGCCAATCACTGCGGGGCACCCAAAATTATTTCCAACTTTTGAAAAGTTCCCCACGCCGCCCTGCGCTCTTACTGCGCATCTTTTCTCTCACAATATTCACAATGTCTATGATCACGGCGACTACGTGGGTGCCGCGCGGATTTGCGGCACCTTTTCCCTCACGATATCAGTTTGACGAAGACGAGTACGAGCGCATCTCCAAGCTTGCGAATCTTCAGCTGGAGGACGCCAAGGAAGAACTCGAAGAGGCGCAAGCCTCGGAGAAGAGCAAAAATGGAACTTCGAGCAAGGCGTCAAAAAAAGACGACGAGTGCGTGCGCAAAAAGACATGACTGTCGGTCAAATGCTAACTGGGCAAAGGGACGACGATGACGACCTTAAAGAGTACGATCTTGAGCACTACGATGACGAAGTCGCCGAGGACCAGGGCGACACCATGGCCATGTTCGGAAATGCAAAGAACTTGGTCTTCCACGAAAACGACGAGGACGACCCCTACATCACAATGCAAGGCGGAGAGGAAGAGGACGAGGAAGATCGCGAAGAGCTCCAGATCTTGGCCACCGACAACCTTGTATTGGCAGGTCGGATAGAAGACGAGGTCGCGCATCTGGAAGTCTATGTTTACGAAGACGAGGACGACAATCTCTATGTGCACCACGACATCATGCTGCCGGCCATTCCACTCACTGTCGAATGGTTAGACTTTCCCGTTGGCAAGTCAGTAGGCACAAGTGAAGGCAAGGGCAACTATGTAGCGATTGGAACCATGGACCCTGATATCGAAATCTGGAATCTGGATGTGGTTGACAGCATGTACCCAGATGCTGTACTTGGACAGGGAGCTGAAGATGCAAAGGCAGACAAGCCAAAAAAGAAGAAGAAGAAGTCTAAGAAGGCCAACGATGACTTCCATGTCGACTCTGTGCTTTCGCTCGCCGCCAACCGCCACCACCGAAATCTCCTTGCTTCCTCATCCGCAGACAAGACTATCAAGTTGTGGGACTTGAACACGACAAAGTGCGCCAAGTCATACACGTACCACACAGACAAGGTCTGCTCAGTTGCATGGCATCCCGTTGAGTCTACTGCGCTGCTGAGTGGTAGTTACGACCGAACCGTTGTGGCTGCCGACATGCGAGCACCCGACGCAAAGGCGCCTCGATGGGGTGTTGAGAGTGATGTAGAGACTGTGCGGTGGAACCCGCACGATGCCAACTACTTCTACGTAAGTCTCGCGATACGGGTTTCATTGCGCACTACTAACAACCTTAGGTCTCAACTGAGAATGGCATGATACATTACCACGACACCCGCAACGCGCCAAAAGACCCGTCCGCTTCGAAACCTGTCTGGGTTTTACAAGCCCATGATGAGTCTATTTCATCTTTCGATATCAACCCTGTGATACCAGGCTACCTGGTGACGGGCTCTACCGACAAGCAGGTAAAATTGTGGAACATCCAAGACAATGGCCCGAGCATGGTTGTGTCGCGAGACTTGGGTGTCGGACGAGTCTTTTCCACGTCCTTTGCCCCCGATAAGGAAGTCGGATTCCGGCTGGCAGTCGCTGGAAGCAAAGGTGCGGTGCAGATCTGGGACACGAGCACGAACGGTGCGGTACGTGCGGCGTTTGCGAACAAAGTACCGGCGATCCGGGGAGATGGCAAGGAGCGTCTCGTGGGCCTGGACGAGCAGGATACAGATTCAGATACAGATGAAGGGGAGAGCGATGAAGAAGGCGAAGAAAATGGGGATGAGAAGGGGTGGGAGTCGATGGAGGAGTAGACTATGATACCCCGAACGTAGTATGAAACGACGCGCAGCAAGTGTGGCAGAATGCGGATACGACTGTCTGTACAGCGACGGCTTCCGCTTTACATGTGCCAAAAGTCCAATGGTTCGACCGACCCCGCAGCGCAGAAAGAGAAAAGTCGAAGTTGTGTTTCGGCGGATGGCATCCGAGGCCCTGATCCGCACATGTACATGTTTCATGAAAGGCCCGGTAGACCCGCCGCCCTTGCTTTTTGAAAATTGCTCCTTTCATCTCGACTGAGTCGGCTCGGCAGCCATAATTGGCGTGCTGAGTCAAACATGTTTCATGCGCGTGACATCACCAGCGCAACGCAGCCAGTGTAAACGATAAAATCAATAGTCGTTATTGTTTTTGTGCTTGCGACCCTGAAGCGTAATCACAGGACTAGCCAACCGAAGAATGAACTGCCACCACTGCACAAAGCGGCAAGCGGTTGATCAACGCTCCCAGTTCGTGTACGGGCGGGTACCAACATCGGCCCCAAGTGGAGCCGCGTCGAAGCTGAGCGAGGTCTCGATCTTGCGGGATCGTCGTCATCAGGTACCCCAATATCGACGCCTCGGAAAGTGAAACCACCACGCCGCGTGGGGCGGAGAAAAAGGCGCGTCCCCAAGACAACTGAATAAATCATCAGGCGAGGCTGAACTCTAAGTACTGCGTTGATGGATCTAGAGAGTGAATAGGTGGTCGGGCTTATACCGGTACAGGACGTAAGTAAGTAGATAGATAGCTATGCCGTTGGCAGCAAAAGGAAAGCACAAGGTACCATTGTCGTGGGGCAATCGGTGCTTATCCCTTGTCAAGGGCAGCATGCATGGCCACGCTGGCTATGCTGGCTATGCTGGCTATGCTGACCGAACTGCCAACTGGTGTGTACAGCCGCCGCTCAATCTAAAGCTGTCAATGCCGTGCTTGATCGAGGAACAGAGCTGGATAGAGGGTAGCGGGCGATCTTGGCTATGGCGTTTTAGGCATGGAGCCAGGATTGAAACGGCGACTCATGGGCGGTGCGCCCACCAAAGTGGTCGGTCCCCTTGAAAGAAGCAAGCTGCCATCGAGTCCCCGGCTCAATCTGAGACGCTTGGGCGGCAGAGGCACTCTCTCTGCTGCGTGCGCCCATTCGCCTGCACGGTAAACGCATCATCCGCTAAACTTAACCAGGCCGTTTCAACCACACTAACGCCCTGCCCTGGGCGCATATGCAATGCCATTTGCTGGCTCTTGCCTGTTCCTGGCGCACCCTGGTTGCTTCTGCCAATCTTTGAGAGACATGTCGACGCGGCTTGGTTAGCGGTGCCGCCGGGGCATGCTGGTTTTTCATTCCCAGGTCGCGCCGTGTTATCGTGCCCTTCTTCTTCAGGCTTCCTCCCTCTTTTGCCCTACGCGCCCTGTTGATTCCTCCAGCACACATCCCTCCTTTTGCGGCCCGGTGTTCGCTCCCTACGACACAGCTGGTCTCCACGCTCTTTGACAGACGACTTCCTCTTCGACACTTGCCATTTAACCTAACATCTTTCTTCTATTCCATCATCTACCCGCTGCGAGCACAGCAAGCAAAAAAAAAAGAAAAAACACTGACAAAGGACCCCAAAGAAACGCTCGTCGTTTGGAACCAACGACAACCTTCTTCTGCGACAAGGGCATCACAAGTACGACCAAGTACTCCGTCCCCGGTTACACTGCAAGAGGGCACGCGTCTCCGACACACCCTCTTAAATCGTCCGAAATCTCTTCTAGAACGACCCGACACTTGCACTAGTAGTAGGCTACCAAGCGCTGTTTGGACCTCGTGCCCACCACCAAGACAATTTATCCCACGCAATACCCCGCACACCTGCACCTCACTGGAACAGCGACCAACGACATTCCCTCTTACAATTACTGACCCTACCACCGGCAACCGGACCCTATTTTGCAATATCGCAAGAACAAGTTGCAATCAATCCGCCAATATGTCTCTTGCCCGTGCCATGACGAAGCGCATGAAGCGGTCAGAAGTGCCGAAGGAACCCATAGAGACGCGCGCTCGGAGCCATAGTTTGAGAAGTGTGAGCAGCAACATTGACCGTTCTCAAATTTCTTCTCCCATCGCTTTGGTCTCTACCACCAACATGCTCTCCTACAACGCACCCGACATTACTTCTCTACGGAACGTTTCGTCCATGACTGTTCTTAGCCAATCATCGGCCGACGACTCGGACCATAGTGTGTCGACACGCTCGCGCGCTTCTTCACATGCCTCGAGGGACACGACACTGACGGATGCCTCGTCTGTAGCATCTTCGCCCACTTCGCCTGCGCCAAACCACCTTTCAGGATACTTTGCATCCCCTGGAAAGCCGCTCAAGAAGTCTTCCTCGATTATCAGTTTGAGGCAAGTCAAAGAGGAGGTTTCCGAAGCCGTTCCGGCCATTCCGCAAAGAGCTCTTTCTCACAGCAAGCGTGCACACGAGAAGCTTGCCCACAAGAGGTCTCTTCAGAATGTAAACACACGCTCCAGCACACGGACTAGCTTGACCTCACCCGTAAGCATGGGCTCGATGCGCCATTCCCGCGAACAGCGATCTTCACTCGACATGTTCACCGGCTCCATCCAAGAGGAGGATTCTCACCCCTTTGGCCGCGAACTGGAACAGCTCAACGAGGTTGTTGAGGAGTTTGGCGGTGTAGTACGGGACGCCGAAGCCGAGGCGGACTTCAACGCCATGCGCGCTAAGAATCTCGCCGCTTATTGCGCAGCTGACTATCTCGCTGAGATCCGCCCACTCTTTAGCTACCGCTTCGGAACGCCTAACCAGGCCGCTCCCATGGCTTGGATTTGAGAGCAACGGCTGCCGACGACCAGTTCCCTTAGTTTGTGTGTTACCTGGATTCTTTTGCTCCCTGCTCGATACCTTAGACGATGTCCTTCGCTACACCTTCATGTATATACATTACACCCACCCCGATCTCGATCCATCACTCCTTGATCTAATCATAGTTTTTTGTTTCTCTTTGTACTTATCTGTTGGCATGGTTTAGACAGGCACGCAAAAAAAATACTTGGGCGTTGCTGGAAAACCTGCCAGACTTGGGCAATTAATCCCACACTATCTCTAACGATTTCTCATGTTTTTATTTGTACGATGGTTATTGGCAGGCTTGCAGGCGCAGTTGTAGGTTGTTTTTGGTCCATGTTGGATGTGGTGTGTTACACTGCATGTACATTCGTGTCTTATCCAGACTCTGACGTATTATCTACAATCAATACATATTACCTGCCATAAACTTCCATCTCTTCTCGGTGACTCGTCATGCACTATCACCACGCGCTGTCTTGCTTTTCCTACCGCTCAACATGATCATGTGCCCGCACGCGGTATAGGCAGAATCGGGAAGGTGACGAACAGAGGACCGCACCTGCCGAAACGGTAACGTCGATGGCGGCATACGCGCCTCGGGAGCAATCTGCTGAGAGACAGAGTGCCGGCGACAACCATCATGCACCAGGATAGCACCCACACACTCGCTGCATTCTGCGGCTGGCGGCATGAAGGGCGGGTGTGGCAGACCCTGGACTAGATCTCACGATTTAGCGCGCATCCTCGGAGCCCGGCGAAACACGTCGGCGCATGCTTTCCCATGTCGCATCTCAAACTTTTGACCAGCAATTCGATGTCTTAGTCCGACGCTTTTGCAACGCCACAACACATAACGCACATATACGGCCCCCACCAAGATGATATGTCGGTCATGCATACGGGCAGCGACCCGCGCCCAAACAAAAACAATTCGCCAACCACAACAACAACAACGCCAATACCCCCGCTTCCTCTCCACCACTCCACCCCTCCGCAATGCAGCAGCAACCCCCATTTCCGGCGCCACTGCCACCCAAACCGCACCTAGACAAGGTGACGCTTCGTCCTCGCATACCCCACCAGCTGCAACATCGACATCGGCCGCGCAGCCTTTTAGCGAGCCCTTGACACCAGCCGCAAGCCCGGACCTCAAAGGTCTCGCAACCGAAGTTTCTAAGAAGAAAGCGACGCCGCTTGTAAAAAGCAGTATACCAGCCGGTCAACCGCTCAAGGGATTGAACTTTTTGAAGGATAGACAGGATCCAGTGGCTTTGCCAGACGACGAGTATCCACCCTGGCTATGGACGATTCTGGATCGCCAGGAGAAGAAGGCTGAAGCTGGGGCGGGAGATTTGTTCTGTATGTCTTATATTCCCCTTTTACCCATCCATCTTCAATCCCCGCCTCAAAATTCCCCTTGTTTCCAAAACGAACACTTTGCTAACCACAAAAACCAGCCAAATCAAAGAAACAGCGTCGTCTAGCCGCCAAACGGCTCCGAAAGGAACAAGCAATGAACCCCGGCATGCTGGTACCCAAGGTACCCATCTACGAACAAACGATTGATTTACCCACTGGCGATGGTAGTCTAGCGGGTGCGGTGGAGGCGTCGAGTGCGCGGGAGGAATTGACAAAGGCGATGCGGAATAAGAGGAGGGCTAGCATCAAGGAGGCTAATTTCTTGAAGGCTATGGGTTAAGCTGTGATGAAATGAGATATCATGCGTGTGGGGTTTACTTGTGATGATATGATGAAGAGGGTTCGATTGATTGAACAGTCGAGCGTCGCATGAGGGATGGGA